TGCTTGAAAGTTTCGTGCCAAGTTAAAATTAATAGTTACTGAAAAATTTTAGGGAGGGGGGGATTTCCCTCATCCCCTACCCCTTGGGTCCGTACCTGATTAATAAGTACATGTGTTCCTAAATAGAAAGTATTTTATAAAGGTCACATTAATATTTGTTTGGACTTCCCAAATAGAAAGGGAGAAAACAAAAAAAAAAACCTTGTTCATTAAATATATTAAATTTCACTTTCATTTTTTTTGCAAATTTAATATGATTTTCTAAATATAGAGAGTTTTTGAGGAGCAATTTGTCATACTGAGCGTTACTTCAAAGTACTGACTCCAGATTTACACTTCAGACTCGCATCCTTTTACTCCTCTCTGGGAATAATTTACACCATTGCATGAAGATCAACAGGAAACTTAAATTCGAGATAAAGGGGAATTGATCCTGATGGACAGACATGCTCAACTTCAAATTTGGTCCAAGATAGGTCAAAAAAAAAGTTACACAATCCACGGTTCACCATTTCACTCCAGAACACTTCTGGGATGTTTAAAAAAGAACCACAGAAAGGAATGACCACGGCACTTAACTTTAATAATCTTCATCTAGTAATATTGTATGGTAGACAAATCGGATTTCCCACAAACGTCAGTAACTTTTTTTGCCGTCTTTGAACTTCTGATGCCCAGCAGTATCCAAAATAATATTCCCACACAAACCATGAATGAACTTTCAGTCACACTCTTCACCTCCGTCCCTTTGAATTTTGTGATAAACATGAAACATGGATCACAAAGGGTAGTGTTCAATTAATCAATATTTTAAAGCTTTGTTCTAAAAAATTTTCATTCTTAAGAATATGCAATTTTTTTAATGGCCTCATTTCACACACCAATGATCTACACCAATATCATTACAAGAACTCCCTGCTTTTCTCAATGCGGAGATAAACAGAATTAAAAATCTTGTAAAAACATTAAATAAGAAAATCAATAGTAAATGTTATGCCTACAATATCACTGCATTGGCTGATAATGAAGATATTTTACAAAAAATGGTCAACAAATTTTATTTACAGTGCACTGAATTTATGTTGATGATTTCCAGCTTGGAAACAATATTTAATCATTAGCAAGGAACCAAAGCAAGTTTAGTAGGAACTAAAGGAAGACTGAAAGAAGAATAGAATTTACATATCTATTATGAAAGTGAATATATGAGAAAGTAATAATACAATGATTGTTCAGTAAAAACATTTCAACGACTGGAGCGATTTGGTCCCAAATTTAGCAGAAATATTTTTGAGTTATCAAGAAAAAAGGTGGTGATTCAAAATTAAACCCCAAAAGTGTTCATTATAAATTTTGTTTAATCAATCCACAATGTATTTAGATGGCACTGCTGCGAGGTGACATGAGTCAGGCAAAATATGATTAGCAGGAAGAAAGCAGGAGCAGAGAAAGGGGTGTTTTGTTGGAGCAGGGAGGCAACAGGCAGGGATTGGGGAAGAGAAGGGACAGGAGATTTAGATGGATGTGATAAATTCTCAGGTAATGTCAGGATGTCTTCTAGGAATAAAAGTTACCTACTATGATAATTTGCACACTAAGTACATCATGCTGATAAAGCTCCAAAAGAATATTAACATACTAACTGGTATGTGGAGAATCTAGCTGTCAGATACTGCTTTACCAGGGCTTCTTATGAAAGAAATTAATGGTTTGTTATGTAAATACAGAGAACACACAACGGTTATCAGCTCTTTCTCTTTCTTCTTATACTTATTCTTCTCATTTTTTGTTCTACTTTCTTCTTAATTTCATCCTTTATCTTCTTCTTCACTCTCTGTGTCTGAGCTAATACTAATGCATCACGATTGTAGAGGACACTGCCATAAGGAGCACATTAAGCATAAATGTCAATCAGGTTATGTCAGGCATTGTGGTGTGATACAAAATGCTCAGTTAAATTTATCGTTCTCAAATGCAGCTAAATATAACCATAAAAACAAAACTTTCAATACATAAAGCACTTATCCCTTCAATTCTTACTTATCCAACAGGGAAAAAAGCAAACACACCTTCAACAAATTAAAAGTTCTATCAGAAAAAAAAAAATTAGAATCGGTTAAATAAGGTGGTAAAGCCCTCTGAAATAAACTATTGCAATATTTTGCCAGTAATGGGTAGGTTAATAGGAATAAGAAAGGAAGAGAGGGGTGGCAAAACATACCCAAGATTACATGTATTAACCAACCAAGAAAGATTGTTTTAATAAAAATCCTTACAAACTATTTATTTAATACATTTGTAAACGAATGGAATGCTTTACCCAGAGATATTGCACTTTATCAATGTCCAGTTAATTAAACATTCACTAGGTCAATTACTAGAGTGTACTACAATTGTTTAAGAATGATACCGTCCAGACTGTTCAAGAATGAAATGGAAGTGTACAGGAGGTCAAAACAAGGTATATCCCAGAGAACAAAGAAGAAGAAACATTTTCATTAAATTTTAAGATTATGAATTTAATCAAATTTTGGTTTATGGTCAAGGGATTTCCAAAGATTTGCATAGACCCATTATGCAATCAATAACACATTTCCTTTATAAATATTTTCAGAATTTGCAGTCTCTCCAGGCCAAATTCCAAAAACATTAATTTAATTTTCATTTATAATTTATTCTGAAATTAAAAACATTCAGTATTATTCTCTACAGTTACAGTTATCAACTGAATTCACGTTGAGCACTGTTTTGTATTTTTTCACATACAATTATTGCATGTCAATCCAAGAGAATTACTTAGAGGCTAAATGTGGCCTGCAGGCCACATACAGACCTACCAAAAAGCATTGCAATGCTAGAAATTTGCTGTAACTTATTGATCACCTTCTTCACCTCAGTATACAGTTTCAAATCCTGTTAACCCAAGTGTATGTTGAAAGAAGGCCGATTTATGGTAGATTTGCCTGAGGTTTTTACATTTCCTAGGTCCCTAATTCCTTCAACTACTCTACCTCCAGATTGATTACTCACCATGTCTCTTATCTTCTCTACCTCACCATCACACCATGCTGGGAAAACCTTATTGAAATTCTGGTTGCAGATCACTATTGGGTTTTTATTTAAGTCAAATTAATGAGGGGAAAAATAAAACAAACTGAGAATATGATAGTAAGAATCCTTGCGAGTGACAAAGTAAAAATATCAATATTAATTAAAGAAATAATTTTGTTTCTGCAGCTTGGCAAATTTGAGAATAGATACATGTGAGGGACTGCCAGAAACATTTCTGGTAACACCAGCAAATTTTGTTTGTGAGCTATAAGCTATTTGAGTCAATATTGGTCCTCCTCATTACAATCAGGCTTTTACATCACTGTATTTCCATTAGCTGTTGTCCCCTGCCCTTACTATTTGTCACTACCCTTCGACACATGCACATACATCAGCCTCCCTCTCCTTTGCATGGCTGAGGCCCCAGAACCATTAGTGGATAGGACATAAATAACTGCCTGTGACCCATTGCAACAATTTGAACTTTAAATTTGGGAAGAAACATGCTCAGGTAGTGTTCCATGGACCCCACTGACCAAGCTTTACTCCCTGTATATGTAGGCAGACCACGAACTTCTACCTAGTTTCAATCAGGGCAGAGGAATGGGCTTGAAGAAAAGGTGATTTCCTTGGGAGATACATGGCAGATTGAAAATGTTCTGACCGTGCAACTTCACAGAAGCTGCCATCCCTGTTCAGGCAGGATCCTTTGAATCAAACCCATTAAGACACATCCACCTGGCTACCCAGGTTTGCCTGAAATGAAAAATATTTCGCCTAGACTCGGTTTCCAAGTGACACAATTAAATGACAAAACTATTTTCAATGATTTTTTTCATTCACCCATCGACTCAACATCAGAAATTAAACAACACTTACACAACCGATTGGCCCAATTTAATTTTCACAATAACAAAAAGAAAGTTTACATTATGCTTATAAACATACAGAAATAGATAATCACAATCTTCATACTTGTTAAAATAGTTGCTCAACAGAAATTGCACAACATTTTCCCATCTCCTTCACAGCCCTCAGTTAGACCCTAGGCCATCTAGCGTCACTGACGCGGCAGTTTGCAAACCAATGTTTTTGTAATATTTTAATTCAGCTTATATTTTATTAACCTGATATTACAATAATCAGTCAATCCTTCATACAAAATACAATGAATGAACTGACAGTAACTCAAATAACAAACAAATTTTAAAACAAGTACTGTCTATTGCTATTACTCCACTGAATCAAGATTTTAAAAATATTTTAACTATACCTGCAAAAAAAGTACTAAAAGATGCAGGATTTATATCACATAAAAAGCAAGCCATTGAGTACTGAAAGAGCAATTTCACTACACAATTTTAAAAAAAGTTACCCGACGATTTCATTCATACTGTTGTTAACATCTTTTTAAGTTTGTTCGTTTTATTCAGTATTTTTATGAAGATACTTTACAAATATATTTGTAATTGTTGTGCCTCTCCTGCTTTAACATTTAACTTTGAATTCCAATCCTAATAGTGTAAACAATGAAACAATTGCATTGAGAATCTATGATAATTAATATTCTTTGAAAACTACCTAGGCTTTCAAATACACTACACATATTTGCAGGATTTGCCTAAATCTAATTTCCATTTTTTGTTTAAATCATCATATTAATTTGCATAAAATGCAAAAGCAAAAATTGAACTTTATCCAAAATTAATGTCAAATATCAGCAGAATGTTTGTTTTTTTACTCAAAGGCCAATACCAAATTAACACACACTGCTATATTATGTGCTATTTACTTCTTTGTATTCATTATATGACAACTACAAAAATAAAAATTAACATCCAAGAGGCACTTGTTTTCATTATAACCAACAATCTGTCACAACAAAGTATTTTGATTAGATATTTTTATTAAAGCAACTTGAATATTGATAATTTCAGATTTAAAAAAAATTATATTAAACTTTTAAGCAGAGCATCTTTACCCAAAGCAGGTTTTTGACTACGCTACCAAATAAAAGACAAATAATTGATATTATTTCATGAACTAATTCACACGTCAAAGAAAATATAATCAAACTTGAGGAAGAAAAAAAAAACGGCATTTGTTCTCTCTACATTTCAAATGTATCATTTTTAAATACGATTACTAAACTAATCAGCCACTTCTAAAACGTATCACAGATACATCAATATTTTTTAAAGAAAACAAGCAAGATATGTTTCCTGCATTGGAAGTGACAAAATGTCATTTCCTGTAACATGTTGTCTACTTTTAACTTAATATTACAGACTTATATACAGATGTGAGTATTCACAGTAATAAAGATCTATAAAGGAACAAAATTTTAAGCACAAATTCTTGAATTTTTACATTTGTGCTAAAACAATGAATGCCAGTTGAATTATTCATTAGATATTTAACTACTTTAAATAACAATACATTGCAATACCAACAGCAATATGAAAATAATTCACAAGCCTCTATAAAAATAATGCAGAAGTCTTCCATTTTGAACAGTTCATTACTTCAGAATATCATTATATTTTTATGTGAGATTTAAAAAATTTTTAGGGAATGCATTCATAAATTTGTGTTCAATTAAACCTTCTTTCAATGCACTCCAAGGTACAATAAAGAATCAATTCACTTCAATAAGTCTAATCTCTTTATCACAATGGTACTAGCATAAATTAACAATTTTTTCTGCAATACTTCCATTACAGCAACCTAAAACCATTGGCGGCACTGTGGACATTCCCTCTTATTCTGCAAGAGACATACGAAATGGCCAATTAAATGTAATATAAGATATGATGAAAAATTATCACTTCAAATTTGTTTTCACTTACCAAGGCCCAACGATCAATGCATTCTCTGTGAAAACTATGACCACAACGTAACCTTCTACACAGCCCAGTATCATCCATTTCCTCAATGCAAACAGCACACACTGGGCAGGACCCACTTGCATTATTTGGCCTTCTTCGTCGTCTTCTCTGAGATGTGTTAGATGAATCGTTTGAGCTATCAACAAGATTGTATACAAAAGTAAATACCTTTAATGTTTTTTAAATTCTCAAATTACTACCATTTGCCAGACACAATTGTCATCATCATTCATTCTTAACAGTATAAAAATGACAGAACTCTGCACAAGACCATTGTAAACAATATTTTACCATCGATAAGTTACCTTTGATAATTTAATGGTGGAAATTCACGTTCATAGTATTCATTTCCTTGAGTTCTACTGTATCCGTGGGGTTGTTCTTGGCGTTCTTGTTCTCGTAACAAATACATTAAAGCTGCTGTGGCAATTCCCACCCCCAACACAAAAAAGAAAGCAACTCCTTGGTAAGGCATATCGATTTTAACCAACAAACAAGACAATACGAAAACTCAGTTCACGCTCAATGTCATCGGTCCAATAACATATTATTAGCTGCTCATTTTCACACTATATCGATAAACAATCTGAACAGTGTTTCACCATCCGAGACCGAGACCACCCGTCAGCTCTTCGCAGGCTCCCCGTCTCCCTCCAAAACCCAGGCGAAACCGATTAACGACTACAGCGATACCAAGCACCCATGTAAGCAACTAATAGAACAGGAGGGCAACTATAAAAAGAAAAATTAAGGCGCAATATTATTACAAGGTTTACATTAAAAATATATTAATCATTTCTGTCTTCCGTGTTACTTCCTGAGAATTATTGAACTGACACGTATTACATCTTTTTTCGTTCTCTTGATAGGAAAACGGAACTACGTAAGTTAGTAATTTGCAACTGCCGAGCTAGAAAACTCTCAGCCAGGGTTTCCCGTTCTCTTTAGGCGGGTGTGGAGGTGGATAGGACGGGGATCCCCAAATTTAGGATGATACCCATTTGCAACACCAGACGTGATAAAGTTAAAAAGTTTGTAACAGTAATGGAGTTTTATTCTTTAACATAAAGTGTCCCCTCCGACGTCGCCAGATTTGTGAGCGAAGGTTTCGCGGAAAGGAGGACAGTCCGTTTACGAAGTTCGAATGACAATTGCATTGTGTTTACGTAGTAGTTCAAATAGAAATGGATAAGATAATAAATAAATAATACAATTATATTTTATTCATGCCGAGGCACAGACCATCAGACTTGCTCTTCCGCTTAATCATGTCAGATATTTTCTTTATTTTATGTACTATGAAAGAGATCAAGTGGAGGGGCAGAAAATTTTGTTTTACTTCTCAGGAAACAAACTATGAACGATCTCGATATCCGTCTTAAGCGATTTAGTAAACCCAGAAAATCTCAATTAGGGAGGCGGCTTAAGGCCGATGACTGACAAAATAGAAAACCTAAAACTGCAGTGCAGTCCAGTACTGCACTGCAGTGCAGTATGGATTTGACAGTCCAGAAAACAAGACTTAGAGAAGAAGCATTTTTTCAGCCTTCCCAACTAATTTGCAGAAATGTTGGAAGACGCCACGAAAACCATCCACACCAAGAATTTCTATTGTGGAAACAGTAACAGATGCTGATCTGAAATTTAGTGATACCAACATTGATAATAAGGTTTTATGTAGTGCTCCTCGTTTTCCGCAAGTGCGGCATTGAGGTCAATTCAATTAAACACCCTATTTTAAATTTAATTTTAACTTAAACATATTTTATTGAAAAGAAGCAGGACAAAGTAACCAAGTGATGTTTATTTCAGTGCTACATCACCTTCCAAATAGCATCATGTAAGTACATTACTTGTACGAACTATTGTAATTATCTTTTGGATCTATTGGTCTCCATCTCAATCACGTTTTTATCCAGTTTCTCTTGACTCATTGAAGAAATGACGAGATCGTTCCTTGCCTTGCTTCTGAATATTTAAATGTAGCTTTTATGATCTACATGAATATGAGATACTTATAAGACATTGTGACTAATATTGTTTTTGACATTAAATACAAAATAAACATTGATGGCAATTTTTTTTTATAACCTTAAAATTATTTCCCGTTTAATGTTTCAGTTCTTCTCAATGCATTGCAGATTGCAATTGAAAACATAGATTTATAGATTTTCAAGGGGACCATTGGCGTACAGCATTACATGCCTTTGGGCTAAACTGTAGTGACACAATATGGTGGGAGGCCCTATAGATCGGATTTAAAAAGAGTCGTTAATTGTTTTCTCGTTTTCACGGTGAAAAATAACACAGGCACACAAAATTTAAAAAATAAAAACAGTTGTTAGAAACAAAGACTTGACACGTTTCTCTACGTATGTCGACGCGCTGAATTTGAAGCCTGAATTGCGCCACCACCCTCCAGTTTTTTTAATCGCGAAAAACTGGGAGGTGGTAGCACAATTCTCGCTTCAGATTCGGATTCGCGCGTCGACATACACAAACATGTGTCAAGACAGGTCTGACAACTTTTGGTTTCTGTAGAATATAATGCTACAAGTCACCAAAATCTAGTATTGACATTATTTACTAGGCTGTCCGGGTGACGCCGCGTCCATGGCGAAGGTGCCGACGTTTCGGTCGCCATGGTTGCAGAATGGCGACAGAAACGTTGGCACCTTCGCCATGGACGCGGCGTCACCCGGACAGCCAAGTAAATACTTACTCTGACCGCGGAAGCCTACGCTCTCACTAGTATTCACATGTATTTTTCGCGTTCTTTGGATACCTAGGAACTCAGGGAAATTACAAAAACAATGAAACAGGTTTGATTTTGACTGAAAATGCAAATATTTGATCGTCGTATTCCGTCTATCCTCGTGTTGCATATACCGACTGAATTTCCATATTCACTGCGTCACTACTTACATGCGTTATACACAGTCATGCGACTTCAAGGTTCCAAGGGAGAGCCCGCCATTAAATATTTGCTATTTACAAGTTGGATTTTATAGGAGAAACTTTTTTTTTATAACTTTGGTATGAATAGACGTGTACCCAGGGGGTTCAGTGGGGCCCCGGCCCTTGTAAGAAAAATTGTCACTGCAAGGTTTTTTGAAAACAATCATAAAGTAAAGTACACTCGATTAAGCATACTCGATATATCTGCCAAAACATTGCCATTTAGTTTATTAGCGGCCTCGCTTTCTAAAGATTAATATCGTTTAATTTTCGCACCAGTATCTTGAATGTTTTGTATCACAATTGTTCATCCCATTCTAAAAGTGCTCTTCCAATACATAAATCTAGGCAGTAACAGTTAACATCAGTACCCCCTCATCTATGCTTTTTGATTGATAATATATCCTCGAATTACAATAGTATGTTAGAAAAGAACCATACCCAACTTGGCTATGAAGATGTCCTGTTCAAATTTCAAGTGCCTCACCCGTTTCTCTTATTTCAAGAGAGTAAATAAAAACGTTCGTCCTTGAAGGACAAGTATTCTGTCATTAGTATTAGCATTTGAGATAGGTCAAAATACATATTGGGCATTTTTAATAAAATATAAAAATATGTCGACGGAAGGGAAAATACGAAAAAATATAAACAGAAATGAGACATTGAGCACGTAAACAGCAAAAAAGGCGAGTTCGCATAACTATTTTAAATATTAGAAAATATTTTTATAAATGTTATTAAATAAAAGCGACATGGATAGGATAGACAAGAGAATTCAGATAGCTTAGTTACAAGGGACAAGCTAGCATCCGATTTCGGCAGTAACAATTAGAACAGGTGAACAGCAGAAACAAGCTGGGCAGATAGATGAAAATTGATCATCAGAATTCTCTCGGTAAGGTAGAGAGAAGGCGTATGACCGCGACTGACATAAATGATTAGAGAAAAGTTCAAGTGAGAATTTGTCTCGATGTGGTAGAGGGAGGATGTATATTCGCGAGATGTATACATTTGAACAGTAAAAACGGAACATATTTAAGACGCGAAATGTTAGTCGCGTATGTAAATAAATAATTGTGAAGAAGGCAAGTCAAGTAGGACGCGAACGACGGAAAAACTTTCGCAGATGTGAACTTAGAGTGGAAATTCAAGAAATTATGGAAGTGCGGCACTTTCTGGACGAATGATTTTTATCATCGCCAAGAGAGCAACGTTTCCTTAGCTACAGGAAAGTTTTGTAAATAATAAAGAGACTTTGCAGTAATAAATTGTTCAAGGCCAAGAATGTCTTACTAAATAAGAATAATATTTAATAAGAACAAAATTGGTTAAAATTTGAATCAGAAAAGGAAGATCATATTTGTGTCAATAAATAAATAGCAACAACACGTCATGTCGCTGAAATTAATTCAGTAAACAAGGTGTTATTTTCAAAAATTAGTTAACTAGTGAATTATAAAATTCACAACGTAAATCGAGATATTCACCAACCGAAAACTCGTACGAGCGGTGTTTAGAACCTACTAGAGAGAAACAGACGAGCCAGAGTTCGTAAGTATTAAAGCGCCCAATCATAACAACAAAACCCAGTTAGCCAATCCAATCAAATAAATAAGAGTAAGAATGAATAGAGAGGGGTAGTGGGCACCGTCATACATTGTTATATGATTATATTATATTATTATTGTTATTATTGTTATTATTGTCATTATTATTGTTATTGTTATTGTTTGTTATTGTTATTGTTATTGTTATTGTTATTGTTATTGTTATTGTTATTGTTATTGTTATTGTTATTGTTATATGAAGGGCCAAATGTTTCGTCCACGACTCCAGTCGCAAGTCAGCCGCCCGTTCCGGATACTGCGCCAGAGACCCTGCCGCCACTGAGGGCATCCACCGTAGCCGTGAACGTGGATGTTTGGCCCTTTAACGCCACCTGCGTCACCAGCCCGGAAACATTCTCTGATAAAGTGTTTTTTTTCTTTCTTTGCGATGGTGCTACCACAGTATACGTATCATAGGTGCTACTGCACAGTGCGGCCGTTGAACTGACATTCCCATGATAAGTCTGTACGGCCGCTCAGCACACACTAATGATGTCTTCTCCATGGGGATGCGATTACGACTTTAAGGTTAAACAATATTTGAAGTTGTCTAGTCTGCATCGTTCTATAAAATTACTTCTATGTTTTTTATTTGGCAATGTATACCTTGTCATTATTTATTTGAAAATTACAAATTTTGTTTACGCTGATAGTTATAAACAAAACATAACACACAAAAATACATGTATAAATTAACTTTAAAATGTGCATTCCTATTTTTAACTTGCATGTCAATTCGCCGATGTTTTCTGACATATGAGAGAGAAATAAACTGACACGAAAATTTCATGACCATATTCTGAAGTTTTGGGCTGTAACCGCGCATTTTGTAGAGAAACAAACGTTTAAGATATCCAAAGTCAGGTACTACAAAACGAGTCATTTCTATCACAATCGCCTCATTTAAGTCCGATTTAGTAGCTACTAGCACTTCAAATATTTTTGTTAATTTTAAGACATTGAAATGCAGGAGAAATATGTTTGCCTGGCCCGAACAAATTATTCCTTTATTTATTTATTTTATCAAATATTTTATTTAACTTTAATGCATGCTTTCTTCTCAAAAGGAGAAAATTAAATATTTCACGTAATAGCAATATTCGATTAACATTAGGAGTTAGAACATCATGTGA